ATTTGTCACAGAATTACAAGCCTAGTACTTAATCTTTTTCTTCTTATTTAAGTTCATTAATTTTCAGATTCTAGTTATGTGTTTTTAAGACACTACTGTGATTGAACATACTTCCGAAGAGTTCAGTGACCTGGTTTAGAGAATTAAGTACCTAAAGTAAACTTTTGAGAAGTTTAAAGTTGAAATGTAAAAGCCAAATATTTAAATGTGTTCTTTTTTGTGTGGAGGAACAAAGAAATTCAGTTAGAGTATACAGTTATTCTACCGGATGATAATTTTAAAAACTGTAGCAAAATCTGCAACTATGGTTCAGTGTTCTTGGTGACTCCCAAGTGTAGCACTGGGGCTTCACACAGGGAGAGACCTCTGTGGTACTGGACCCTATGAGAGAATTAGAAATACTTTGTAATCATATTCTTAAACATTATCTGTGAACCCAGGAGTTACCCATCCTGCTGCTTGAAAAGTCATGTTTTTTAACTTAACTGAAAAATGCACTAAGTGTTATATTTAAAAATCGTTTCACTTAAAAGGAGTGTTTATTAAAGCTACTACAGGGTATGTTGGAATTGAAACTCGTTCAAGATTTGTGATTGTGTATTTAGGGTTGATTTCTGCCAGGAACAGATGGCACTGGAAGCAGACAACTGACAAGTCATACAGCACAAAACACCTACTAAATGATATTTTGTAAGTGCAGTCATGAAATAATGAGAGTATTTTGAAGTGTTATTGCAGAATTTAGTTTTGAAGAGCAGGTAGGCTAAAGAGGAGTTTTTATGAAGGAGTTTTCCAAAAAGTATTTTAATTGAAAGATTTTGGATCGATAGATGTTGAACTATTTGAAGGGGAAAATGAATTTTGCTCTTGGGGAAGCCATGGACTGGTTACTGCAATCTTGCTGGATACGTGTGGGATAAGAAATCAGCCTTTAAAGCATCTAGCTGCTTAAAAATCTCTCTGTACTTTTAAGTAGTTACTCTAAGTCAATTGCTGAGATAGCAAACCAGGAATAAAAAACAAACAAACAAACAAACAAAAAACCCAAAACAAATCAGGAATAAATTGTTGTGTCTCAGAGGACACTTACTTCTTTGAAAAGAGGTAGGTTTGAAACCTGTGTCTTTAAATTAGCACAGATTTGTCCGCTGTACAAGTTTTGATCCATAAAATAACCAGTGAAACAATTAAAGCTTCCAGTTTAGGTAAAATGAAACAAAGGTGGCCTTACTGTGGTTCTAGGTTAGGAGAATTTATTAAGTACCACTGTCCATGTCACCTTATTCCAGATTTGAGTTTGATGGGGTCATAAGGCCTTCTTCTATGAATTTCTCATGTTGTAATCCTTATACAAACTCCTGCGTAGAGGAAATGTTTGGAAAACTTAATAAATGAGCGTACTACAAATGGAAGGATTATATATTTTTCATGTAATGCAATCCAAAGGCAAATACAAATCTGATGTTGGGCTTTTTGTGACACAGAACTATCATTCTGAAAACTGATTCCTTAAGGACTGAGCCCTTTTATTGCTTTTTGGTTTGTTGACAGTATTGACCAGTATCTGGAATTCAACTTGGGAGTTTCTTATTGGGAATATGAAGTTCTTTGTTGTTTCTGCTGGAAACAACAAATTTGAAAAAACTGAAAGTTCTCTTTCAATTATGTGAAACCTGCCTAATGCAACTTGATCTGTTTCCTTACTGACCATTACAGCTGATTTAGGGTTGTAGTAGTCCTATTTGCCTTGCAGATTTTTGAATTGGAAAATGAAGATGGCACAACACTTGCTTTTCTGAGTTGTCAAATACTGCCACAATACTGTGATATTTGGGATTAAATAGTACCAAGAGTGTTAGATTTTACATGTTGTGTAACAGTGACTTTTATGTACAAACCCCCTTCTCTATTGAAATTTTTCTTTTAATATTGTTTAAATTTATGAAACTAAGGGAAGAATACTAGGGTCAGAATTTATATTAGTATGATATCTCAGTGCTTTATGTTAGTATGATGCGTCAGTGCTGCAAGATGTCTGCTTCTAAGGTTTGTTGTTGAAGCTGAAAGCTTTCTCAGTGTTATTTAGTGTAATCCTTCATATGCATTAGTTTGTATTTGTCGATGAAATTTGGTCATCAAATGATTACTGTTTCTTAATAAAAAGTAGTTTGTCTATATAGTACTTTAGTAGCATTTAAAATACATAATTCTCTTTCAGTTTAGTCAGATTTCATTTATTAAAATTCACTAACAAAGTGTAAGACTTCAGATGGAACAAAATGAGAATGAGAGGTTGCTGAATGCAGCATTTCTGGGTTTGTGACAAGTTCTGAAAACCAGGTTTTTAAATACTAAACCTAAAACTTTCACACAGAGAAGTTAAATTAAAAAAAAATTGTTTAGAAGCATCAAAAAAATGTGAGCTGTGAAACTAGAGGGAAAAGAAAGGTCAGGGCTTCTGTCAAAGCACCCTCAGCATGTGGAATATTTGTGGTCGTTAGATACCCTGGGGCTTGAGATTGTTGAAATACCAAACTCTGGAGGTGACCCAGAAGATGACAAGCCCTGAGCATCCCAGCACTGCAGAGAGTAGGGGCATCTCCACCAACTTCCTGCATACGTAAGCTTCCAGTTTGTACTCCCTGCTGCAGAACTGGGAGTTGGGCTTTGAGTCTTTTCAGGTTGTCAGCTTAAGAGCAGCAGAACTGAAATATTTGCATGACTAGAAACTCACAGCTTGGAAACAGAAGTGTTGGAGTGGAAATGTTGCTTGTGTTTAAGCTGCTTTCTTGTTTGCATCTTGGTGGTTTCAGGATGCTCAATGGTTTTTGTTAATAGAGGTTGGATTTTTTGGAGAAGCATGTCTGAAATTTATCTGAAATCTGGACCCTGAATGTTTCAGGAAAATATATTTCGGGCTAAGTGATTAGTGTATTTCTAGACAAACAACTCCCTTCTGTCCAGTGTTTTATTGGAAGATTTCCAATTCATTCTATCTCATTAGTTACTTGTATTACTTCTGTCACTGAGATGTTGAAAACTGAAAAAAACCAAAACAAAGAAACCAACAACACAAGTGTGATGAAAATTTTAATCATAATCTTTTGCCCTTTAGAAGGGAGAGTGTAGTTTTTGTTCATGTTCTTGTGTAAATGCTTTGTCTACAGAAGAATGTACTCATGGCTCATCTCTCTCTAATGCTGTGATGAAATTGCAGACAGTATACTGTCATACTCATTTTTCTGTGTTCCTTAATCTGTAGTTTATAGGATGTTTAACATTATCTAAAAGGCTTCAATATTAGCTACCTATAGTATCTCTTGCTTCTGCATACTGGAGGAATGAAAACTGATTTTCATTACTGGCTCATCTTGGAGCTGAGAAAGCAAGTTTAATATATGTATTGGTTTTCTTTTTTCCCTTGTGCTTCCAGGTTTTTTTCTTTTCCTTTTTTTTCTTTTTCTTTTTTTTTTGCATAGATAGCAAGTCCTTGGTGCCAGGAGGCTGCCTCTTTTTATCCTACATGTGTAATCTGCAGTTGAGACATACTGGCAAAAAATTGGTGAGGCATTATGTGGTGCTGGTGGTAAGCAGGTAGTATTGATTCCTTAGGGTGCCTCAGTGTCAGGTTTGCACTGCTCAGTTTGGAATGACTTGTGTGTAATTCAAAAAATTCTGTTAGGAAACATGGATAAGATGAACTGTGTAGCTTTGACTTTTTCTGAGCAAGGACTAACAGGAGCACTAGGTTGTTTTGGGGCAAGGGGTTGTGTGTGCGATGATGTTTTCTTGGAGGGGGGTGGGTTGAATGTTCTAAGTTTTGAAGTTGTCTTTTATGTTTTAGAAGAACTTCTTGGGTCTCTCCTGCCATGTACTTTAATTTTATTCTTGTGTGATGCTAGCTGTCAAGTAAGGATTCACTGAATAAGGTTATTTTAGTAAGGAAGAGGAATGCTTTTCAAAATAAAATGTCAATAAAAAATGTGTATTAATTTTGTGATAGTCTGGACACAGTAGTTGAATTAATATCAATGTCGTGTGACTTAAAGTTTCTTGCTGCATATAATCTTGATCCCTTGCCCCTTGAAACTCTACAGAAAAGATCTAGACATCTAAGTAGAGCTTAGGCTAGAACCCAAATGCTGACTGATTATCTGTCTCTTTTCTGATTTCTCAGCAGCCTTCCCTCAGAGAGCAAACTGGTTGGTTCTTGTTCATTTTTATCACTCACTGTGATGTGATCTTATTTTTCTGATTAAGCTATAAACTGATGCAGGGGAAATGGCACTGATCCTGAAAGAGTTGAGGAATATTTTGTACTTATCTTTCAAAAAGGAATCTTCATCAGTATTTATTGTGTATGTCTAAGTAAGATCCTTGTACCTTCCTGAGGATATTAGATCAACCTGAACTAATTAAGAGTACTGGGTGTTACTTGCATTTTCCAGGATGTTTTTTGCAAAATAAATTGCATCTCTACCTTCTCTTTGCTTGTTTGCAGTAAACAAAACAGTTGAAATCAGGTTTCAATATTTTTGCCCCTATGCACTCCAGCCTTTTTTCTATTTTCTATTAAAATAATAACTTTTGAAGCTATCTTTAAACTTTGCAAAGAAAATGTTTCTCACTAATTGTTGCATATGACATGACACACCATTTTACCAGTGTAGGAGAGACTCAAGTTCCTGTCTCTGGAGACAAGTGAATGGTGATTTATAACTGATGGGTTAATCTGAAGATGTGATGAGCATCTGCCAATCTGTGTGTATCAGAAAAACAGCAGTTGACTATGAAGGTGTTAAGAGCTCCCCTGGGAGAAGAGAAGCATGCTTGTCTTAGTAAATGTGACTAGTCTCTTTAGAGTAATTATGTTTTTTAAAATATGAAATGTACAATATTTGGAAGATGCACTTTTATGCAGTGTTTTTTCATAACATACAAAATGCTGAAACATATTTTTTTATTTTAAATAAAACCTTTTTTCCCCCCTCTTACCACAGGATAATGAGAAAAGGACCCCTTTACATGCTGCTGCCTATCTGGGAGATGCAGAAATTATTGAACTACTTATTTTATCTGGTATGTTCTGTTCCTGTTAATGGAAAAAAAAATAACTCTATGCACATCCAAAGGAGTATTTATGTACGTCTTAGTCTGTGTAGCTTTTACTGAGATATTTAATGTACTAGAAATTAAAGATGTATGTACTGAAATTTTGGATTCCAGACTTATGAGTGTTTATAATACTGTGTAGTTCTGCTTTAAAATATTTCTTTGTAGAAAGCTTTCTCAGTTATAGCTATTTTTATTTGTAACTTGATCAGCTTTCAATAGTTTAACTCTAGTTTAAAGAATTTATAGTGTATATGTTATAGGTAGGTGTTAGCATCATTGCTTTTGATCTGAAATGGCCTTCACGAAGACAATTAAATTCGAACATAGAAGATGGCATCCAGAGTTGGTTGTATCATTTTAAGTATCTTTGCCTATTGGCTTAAATGCACAGAATATAATTAGAATCAGCTGCAAATGTTAAAATCTCATCTTTTTTTTCCCTATTTACTTGTACTAAGAGAAACTGCAAGTCCTGTAAAACAGTATACCTTGGTTTTGGGTTTTTTTTGTCTTTTTTAAACAACTTAGAAAACCAAGAAACTAAACTAAAAACCTGAAGCGGAACTTCATGACTGAAGTACTCAACTGATTTTTTGATCTTGGACAAACCTACCTGTTAGGTAGCTTGAGGCAGAATTCTTGATATGGAGCTTCAAGCTTACATAGAAAGATTAAAACTTGTAGCAGTCCCATAGGACTACTTTAATCTTCAGTCTGCCTAATTGTGCCTTACCTGTGCAAAGCTGGCTATTTCCACACACCCCCCCATCAACCTTTAATAAAAAATTTGGGTTTAAGGAAGTGTCACTTAAAATTGTAGGAGTTCTCTTCCAGACTTTCAGTTGAAATTGCCAGGCATAATTTAATTTGTTATAATTTAGGCAAGTTTTAATATTTTTGTCATATATATTACTTGTACTCTCTTAATATAATTATCTATACATATAATTAATTAATATCACATTATTTGTATTTATATATCTATGTTATGGAAATACTTTATAGTAACAATTTGTCTGGAAAAGATCACTTTTGAAAAGGTGAAGGGTTTTAAAATCTGAAAAGGTGCTGGTTTTCCCTATCAAGAAGAAAAATAAGTTCTGGTGACCATTGAAAACATACAGTGACCCCTTTCAACAACTAACAATGTTATAAACTTTGTAAAGTTGCAGTCAGCTATTTCTGAGGGTGAATTTTCTTTCTAGTTTGGGTGAACAGAGTCCATTTACCAGAACTGTGATTGAAGAAACTAGACCTCTCTCAGGCAAAGAGCTTATGGAAAGGAGCGAGATTCTAGTTCAGATGGGAATGAAATAAGATCCTGATCGGGGGATGGCAGTGGGGGAAGAAAGGTTAGTCATGCTATTTGGGCACATAGCCTGGGGTTAAGTGTAAGGAGAAATGGAGAACAAAGAAGGGAAGTGAAGCACTAAGAATTAGGGCTGTACCAATAGTCCAAAGTTAAGCAGTTGCATGGAGCCAAGCTTGTGGGGTGCTGCAGTGTCTGCAGATTGGTCAGGAAGACTGGGAGGCATTTGATACATCTCAGATAGCACTTATTTAATGCAAATCAAGATTTACTTACAGCAAAACAATGCATTAGAAAGTTGCAAATCAAAAGCTTCGAAAACTGTGGATTGTATAGGCGGTGTCAGTCTAACCTTACTGTGCTCATGTGCTGTGCTATGGACTTCAGTAACTCGTTGTGCCCTGCTGTAGAGGCACAGCCTCCTGAGGGGCACAGGGAGAGACTGTGCTGGGAGTGAACCAGGGTGGTATGGTGAGGGATGCACAGGTAGGTATGAGTTGTTGACACATTTGCAAGTGAATGAAGAGGGGCATTAATTGCAGGATGAAAGTGGTGTCTGGTGTTCAGGCTGTTCGGTTTCCAAGACTGTGTTATACTCGAGTGTGAATCTGTGTATTACCTGTTTGCAAGCAGTGGTTTTAGGCAAACCTCTTAAACTAGGCTCTAAAAAGTAGTCACTAATTTAGTCTTCTTCATTTCTGAATGCTGGATTTGAAATCTTTGCGGTTGGTGAAGTGTGAGCACTCAGCTGTATCAGAAGTGCTAACTAGCTGCTTCTCTGAGAAATCAGGTCTAGGTGTCTCAAAATGCACAAGCTAGGATTTGTCTTTTAACTCTCTTAATTGGAAGACAGGGAACAGAGGTTAAGTGTATTTATCCTCTCCATTTCATAAAGATAGGGAAAATTCATCTGTTGTGTTTCAGCTGGAAATCAAATCTCTCCTTTGAGACAGATGTGTAATGTTACATTTTGTCATAATAGATCAGCATTACAGAGCAAATAAAGAACATGTGTTACCACAGCAAGGTTTGAAGAACACTTGCTGTGTTGCAAGATCTCTTCTTGAACAATGAGGAAAGTAGTTTGTTGAATACATAGCATTTCTGAACAACCATCTCCTCTGTACAGTAAATTTGCGTGTAAAAATTGTCTGTGACTTTAGTTGACCCATTGCAGCATACGTGCACCAGGGATTGAATTAAATGTAGGCTACTTTCATCCTAGCATTTCTCACCTTGTGAGAACTTGTCTTTACAACTTGAAATGTCCTCTAACATAGCTTTGCTGGAATGTTACTAGGAACCACTTTACAGTTTTCCTGCTGTGCATGCAAACTATCCTACAAAGACTGTTTGCTTTGTTTTTATTCTTTCTTCAAACTGAACCTCAAAATTACTGAAGTCAGTATTAATCTTTCCACTACTCTGTGGCTCTTACCTGATTCTTTCTCATTATTCTCTATTAAAGTGTTACCATCTTATCTACATATAGGTTTTTTAATTTGATTGGAATGTCTTTTGCATCCTGCTCCAGGGAATTCACGTTGCTTTCGAGTGTGTATTTTGGATCACATGTTACTGTCACAATGTGTTTATATTACTTTGCTACAGACGTAAGCAACCCATATTGCACATACTGAAGATATAACTGATGAAGCCTTTTTGCAGACTTTTGTGGAGTAAGGTTTCAGTCTTAGGAGCATTCTTAGTTAGTCTTTGAATTCTTGAGATATTTTCCTACCAAACCTTAAGGTTTCTGACCTCTCCTGTTGTAGTCTTTCACCTGGGCAAGGGATCTGAAGGTGATGATTTGGCTACAGGCTCCAAACATCAAAGAGATTGCTTCAGTGACTCCAGTTTGGGGCTGGACATTTAGATTGCCTTTTGTTTTTTTATTTTGGGATAGTGTTTCACTGAAGACTAATAACTTGTCCCCTGAGGATGTGAATGTCTTACCAACAGATTGTCATACCACTGTGGTCTGTGGAAGTCTAAATGTTCAAATCATCTCTCACTGTTAGATTGTAGCTTGATAAGCAATTAACATTCCTAAGTTAGGTAGGGAGGTGACCAGTAAATAAAGAAGAGGCATGAAAATCGTTGTTTATAGCACCCAGAAGGATGGAACAGAAGTTTGTATTTTAGTCACTTGAGAATTATAATTTGAGAAGCATTTTCCTTTTTGTATTACTCTGGGAAGAGTTGTAATACTCATCACAATTGTATTTTTATGACCTTTGTCCAGCTCTGCATCCTGGCACACAAGTACATCTGTCTGCTTTGCATAATTGTGCTGACTTTAATTGTTTAAATGATGGCAAACTACTGACAATTAGAAAAATTTAATAATTAAGTTTTAATGAACTGAATGTCCAACTTTTTGTTCTTTCCAAGAAGTGGAGACTAAAAAGATCAAACCCTTTTTAAGTCCTGCATATGAACTTCTGTTCTCTCTGTTTGTCCTATAATGTTTGATGCCATCAGAGTCTACTCTGCTGGGAAGTGACATGTGAGAAGCAGAACAGATTAATGTGATCACATAATGTGTTCTTGTGATTACTAACTTTTTCCATTTGTTTTCTTTAAAATACCACACAAACTATTATTGCTTTCACTGAAATCAACGTAATTCATAAAAATTAACATTTGAATTGTTGGTTGTTTTCTTTTGAATAGATTTAGTTACTGTATTGCATTGATACTTTGATACTAACACAACACATTTCTGTTTGTTTAACCCAAAATTTTCTCTGCATGAAGCTCAGTGTTACATGAGTGTGGCCAAACTCAATCCCATTAAGGTTTGGCAGCCCATGAGTTTTTGTTTCCTCTGGGCCAGCTGGAAAATGTAAGAATCTTCCTGATACTGGAAAACTATCATTATAGTAATAACAGATTTTGGAAGATAGTAAAGGCCCTCCATTGTTACGGAACTCTACCTGTGTTTTTTTTAATTCTGAAGCTATGCGAGTATTAAAAATCCATGCAATGACAGTCCCACAGCTCAGCTGTTGGAAGGCTATTGCTGCAGAATCCCAGCTGCATGAAGCTCCCTTTGTTTGGCTTGCAGATGTACCCCCATACAGAAGGCGTTTCACAGGGGCTGCTTTTACGCTGGCTGTATCTTTCAGCCACTTCCTCTTCTTTTGACGGCGATATTGTCTGACATTTTCATTTTCGAGCTGTCCTAACTTCCCCCTGGCAGCAGTAACAGTCAGTTGCTGTGAAGAAAGTAGCTCTGATGCTCTTTAAGAGAGAAAATTAAACTGAGTTAGGAAAAGGTAGAAGCATTCAGTAGCTCGGGGAGTCAGAGGACCTCCTGTTGCTCTCTGAAGCTCAAGGAGGTGGTGGCTGAGAAGATGTGACAGAAACTGTTCTGAAAGGAAATTAACTTCCTATATTGAAAATCAGTAAAGTCCCGGAAGGATGACTTCTCCTCTCTTTTGTGTATCTTCATGTGTTTTTTCGTTTTGTGGGGTTGTTTTGGTGCAGTTTTGTTTGTTTGTTTCTTAAACAATAAAAAGAAAAACTGTTGTTGAAGAAGCATCATTGTGGCTGGTCAAAAGATTCCAGTCCTGTTCCTCGCAGATTTTTTGTTACTGTTCTAGGCATTTAGCCTATAAATAGCAAACAGCTTTCTCTCAATAAGGTCTTA